CCTCTCTTCTGGAAGTAGTCCATAGGTGGTTCAGACTTCTTCAACCTACAATTTATATTTAAAATCTAATTAATAACAAACATGTATCTGAAGAAACTCAAAATTGAACCACAAACAAAAACAGGGTTGCAACTCTTTTTCTTCTTGTTATCTTATGCAATGGGGAGGGAGTAGAGAAGGACCTGAGGGAGGCTCATCAGTTCAAGAACAGCCTTCTTCGGGGTTAGTTCGTTGTCAATAATTCGAGCGACTGCAGTCAAAACTGGCATCTTTACATTATATTTCTGCGCTAGTGCAATCACAGCTCCAGCTGTTGATACACCCTCTGCCACCTAGAAAACACAGAGCCGGTTGCCACATCAGTGAGCACAATTTCAACTTTTAACAGCTACATCAAAACATCATTAAGCTTAAGCACCTGATTCGTGGAACTTAGTATATCATCAAGTTGCTCCCCTGATCCAAGACGAACCCCAACTGTTCTGTTTCTGGAAAGGTTCACAAAACATGTAAGCATAATGTCTCCAATTCCTGATAGACCAGTAATTGTTGTCGGCTTCGCACCCATCTTCAGGAGATAAATTAGAGGGAAAAACAGTGAGAGAACCGCAGCCAAAGCATATATACTAATAAGTTAACACAATTACAATTTACAAAACAAGTAGACAAATAGGAAAAAGGTGGAAAACAAGGCAACAACCAGGGACATAAAACACCAATTATCAAAATATGGCACCTTAGTAGCCAGCCACCTTATCTCTGAGCATCCTTGTGCAACAAGAGCTGTCTTACAATTATTACCAAGATTCATCCCATCCACAATCCCTGCAGCTATAGCGAGCACATTCTTGAGAGCACCTGCAACTTCTACCCCTATGACATCGCTGGAATTTATCAGAGGTTATGAGCTGGGTCCGTCCACTTAAATCTATAAACATTTATTCTCATTACACATAGGATCCATGCTAATTGAGATTGGAAGACTTCGATATGCAAGTTGACTAGGCATTCCAAAACCAAATTATATACATAGAAAAAAACTTAATTGCACTTAATCTAGCTGTTTACAGAAGTGAAGATCCACAACCTCGAGGTGCTGATTCTTAGATAGTTACAAGCTAGTAGCTGCTGAGCTGCATTTGCCAATTTTTTGTCTTTTGACGCTACAACCATTGCTAGAAAAGCAAAAGTAAGAGCAAATCATGATTAGTACCTATGAAACATGAATCAGTTGAACGCATCGATGGAACAATGTTATTTCTTATTCCACAGACCTGTTGGTAATTTATTCATCAGTTCCAGAGCAAAAGAGGGCCCTGATAGTGCAATGAAAGGTTGCCGAGGATTGTTCAATGCTTGGGGGATAAGTTGAGACATGGTCCTCAACGTATTGAGTTCTAAGCCCTTGCTAACTGATATGAAGGGCAAGCCTGGATAAACATGTTCTGCAATTCCTTCAAGAAAGGATGAGCTGAACTGCAATGTCACAGACAAAGATTCAGGTACGTGCCCCAGACTAAAGTATATTCCAAATATGAGAATTAAACAGTATACCAATTAGTCAAAGACTCATATTCTAATAAGAAAAGGCTTAATCCAAATATAGTATGCACTGGGATTCATATGAAAACAGAGGAATGGGACTGACAAACCTGCACAGGGACTGCATGAAGACAATAGTCAGCACCAAGCAAAGCAGTTTTGGCATCAGTTGTGGCAATTACATTGTCTGGTAGCTTGTGTTCTGGGAAGTACTTACTGTGAAGAACGAAAAACCAATTACATTTCAGAAGAATAGATGGCTTCCGAAAAGAGTGTTATGCATAAAAGTGAATGCTGGATGGATGCAGATATGGCCTTACCGATTACAATGGTTGCTGTTAATAGACTGACAAACTTGAACATCACGCACCAGCATGTTAACTTCCATTTGGGCTTTTCTATTTGCAACATGGGCAGCCATTGCCGTAGCAAAAGACCCACCTCCAAGCACCACTACCTAAAAAATCAAAAACCCAATACTAAAGAAGCTTAATTTGAAGTGAAAAATGAAAGCTTTTGTAATTCTACGAAAGTCAAACGCAAAATTGGGGAAAAGGGTAGGCAGACCTTGTTAGTGCGTTCAAGGACATCGGTCTTGGCCTTGGAGCGCCAGGACCTGGACCACCGGACCAGCTTCTCCCAGGCTAACCGGACAGCTCTGCGGCGGTCCCGGGTCCGCACCAAAGCAGTCCCCGGAACCGGTTTGGGTGATTCGGATACGGGTTGTTCGGGAGTGGCAGCGCAACAAGGAGTGGTGGTGGTGGTGGTTGGAGAGTGGAGGCTGAGAAGAAGCGCGGGCTTGTTCGAAGGGTTTGCTGGCCTTCCAAGTTTGAGATTGTACGGAATGGGACGGGTTGAGTTTGAATTGGGAGGAAGAAGCGGAAATGGTGGCGGTGGCTCTAACAGCGCCGCCATTGTTTCCCGGTGAAACTGAGAATGAGCGTTTGGTCCCTCGCTTCTAGTTCAAAACAGTTTTTGGAACTTTTCTATCCGCTGTCTTTTTTTTTTATATTTTATTTATTTCTTATATTATATGGTGGATAGACTGTATATTTTTTAGGAATGTAGTTGCCAAGTTGGTAGATAAAATATCTAGTGTACCCTTATATTAATATTTCATAAAATGATTTATAAATCTAAAACTATTATGGGAATTGCACTTTTTTTTTGGGGGGGACGAAAATGGGAATTGCACTTTAACTAGCTTTCGACTTTGTCAATTTCATATAGATTTTAGTGTTCAAAATTTAAGTCCACTATTACATTCTATTGCATTGCAATACATATCCTTAACTCAAGGAAATCAACTAATTTTGTTAAATTAAAAAAATATTGAGTGAATGATGATGATTTTAGAGTGCTAATAACAGTTCTCTTGCTACATAATAAAAAGAAGAAAAAAAAGCATCTTCAAAACCTTTTTCTATACATGCATGTTGTTTAAATTTCAATTTAATCTTTAAGTCGGCCGATTGTTGTGGTTATATAGAGATAGACATTCGTGCAGACTGCCTAGTGGTGTGTAGACGTCAATATCAATTATATCTAACAATAGAAATGTCTCTCCATACATTACAAGTTTTAGTACTTAATTATAGGGGACTGATTTTCCCACTCCCTTTTTATCCATCGACACTCCATTTTTCTAAACAAAAAGAAGTGTAGGTGGATAAAAGGGGAGTGGGAAAATTATTTACCTTAATTATATCTAACAATAGAAATTTCTCTTCTTTTTATAGATTTCACAATCACTTAATCCAATGGAATGTTCAATTCAAAAGTTTGACAGAGCACATGCTTGGCTTGGCCTAGCATATCTCACAGTTCATTGTGCTACATGAATAAATATTGTAGCACACAGAAAAATTTGACTCAGCGCTCAGCTGTAGCATCCCAATTTCATTGGAAAGAAATGCAAAGAAAAGAAGAGCACTAATTTTCTATAATTAATAGCAAAAGATGGAGAGCCAAACACGCAAGCAACACACAACGCACAAACAATAAGCACAAAAAGCCCTTCCTCCCATCTTTGCTTCCTAGTTCAGAAAAACCCTCTTCACTTTTATCAAAACGAATATTCTTCTGGCTTACAACAATTAATCACATCCATCAAATATTTATACTCCATCATTTTTAAGGTTCCATTTCAAGACTTGTTCTTTTTACCCCTTACCTTTCTAAATCTAACGCCAGTGCCATACATCACATGTTGTGATTGAATCTCTCTCTCTCTCTATTCTCTCTTGTCAACCCAAGAGAGAAAACAAGAGCTTCACCCATCACCAACAAGTTTTCAAGGTACACAAAAAGCGCTGAACTTTGATCTTCTTTTTCTTTTTTATGCAATTGGGTTGTCATGTTTTGGATTAATATTCACGAATTCTTGGTTTTTTATTTTATTTTTTATTTTTATGTTAGGTGATTGTTGCTTAGGTGATGGGCAAGCATCAACGTTGTCCTTGTGACGGCCATGATCATTCTAACAGCAATGGAAGGAAGAAGAAACGCCTGCGCAATCGGAAAAGGGCATGCCATTGCTTTGCAGTGTCCTCAATATTTAGAGGGATAGGGAGATGCATGTTTGTGACTTGTTTCCCTGTCATGCAGTGCTTTGGATTGGATGAGTGCAGACACCGCCACCACCACCATCACCACCAACGCAGACATTTCCACGAGTTTTCATGATACTGGGATTGACTTTGCATTATTTATTTTGCTGGTGGAGGAAGTTTGAAGTTTTGCTGCATTTTTCTTTTTAGATTTGGTGTCGGATCCTATGAGGAAAAACACGAATTGGGCGGTAAATATGGGATCAGATGCGGCTCATCAATCAATCACCACTTTGTTTGGTTCTTATGTAAATATACATGTCAAGGAAGATCAAGGTTGGAAAAAAACATCCAGTTTACCTTATACGGGTGATTGCATGTACCTGAGATTTACTTTCAAGGTCTTGTATCCAATGAGGAAGTGAATCATGCGCGATGTTTTCCTGGTTATCCTGCAGAAGATCAAGGTTGGGGTCCTTGGGGAGAAGAACATGTTTAGAAATGTAGAAAATTTGGGATTTTGCATATGTCAAGGACTACAAGAGTCCAAATATCGTCAATTTAGAATTGCTGCAGTTAGGAATTTTGATTGTACATCCTCATGATTCTTTAGCTTTTTCTTTGTAAATTATTGAACAACAATGATTGAATTTAGACTCCAATTTTCGTATGTCGATTTTTCTTTTGTGTTTGAGGCAGTCGATGATTCTGGTAATAATATTCATTGTAGGAAATTGCGTAACATGGTCAATACTATGTTAAAACAATGAGCAAAGCAAAGCATCAGAGGAAAAGCAATGGAAAATATTTCTTTCAATTTTCTAAGGCAAATTGATTCTCAAACAAAATGAATGTTACTTCAAAGTATCTCTGTGCCTCATACAATAATGCAAAGGTGGAGATAACAAGTTCTGAGCAAAACAAAACCAAAGGTTACAAAATTAGCAGTTGAAGGAGAGTTCTAAGTTCTATATCATGAGGGATATTATAAACTTTTTTTTCTCAGGTTCTTTCCAATTTCATCAAATGACATCTCAATTTCTTTATGTCCGACTGTCTGAGAGGCTTTAGCATGAACATCTGAGCTCCCTCCTCTAAGCACCTGTTGAGCAGAAACAGAAACCTTAAAGTGACATAAATAAAGGAAAAGAACAAAAGAAAGTACACATCATAAGCTATATTCATTTACTTGTTAATACGATTCGGTACGTATTCAGATGACATAATCACCACTGGAACCTCCTTCATGATTGATGATTCCTGTATGCAAATAGGAAATGCATGCAATGTGCATATATGGTCAAAGGGGGTAAGAAATCATGAACTTATCTTTAACCTTATTTGATACTACAAATTAAGAATGTAAATCTGGGGTAATTGTTCAAAGAGTTTGCCACAATACCTTGATTTTCTTGAGTAGTTCATAGCCTGTCATCCCTGGCATACAATAATCTGTAATTACCAGATTTACCTTTGAGACCTGCAAATAATTACAGAACCCTTCTCAGTAAAAATCTTTAAAATTGAATGACTACCAACAAACAGCAAGCTTATACAATGAGATTAATTTTATTATTCTATTGACTGTTTAAGGTACAGATCAAATTTCTCTGAGCATATAGTTTTAGTTACTCACATTGTCCTCCAAGCTACTGTTTTGATGATCTCCCAAGCCCAAAAACTCCAATGCCCTTAGCCCATTTTCCGCAGTAGTCACTGCACCCATTGAAGAACACTGGCATTTGTTAAACTACATAATAACAAGGAAAAATAGGACATGCATTTATATAACTAAACTCTGGTTTTTATATATACATTATGCCCTTTGAAAAATATTTATATTAACTTAGTTCTCCATCAAAAAGTCTTCTTAATCCTTCTATTATCCAAAATCTCTCACAATCATTAACCAGTGTCCAATGAAGATTAGCATGAGAAAACAGAGAAAACAGATTGAAAACAGAGGGATTTGCAGCATGCAGAGTGTTTGTTACCTTTGCAAGAGAGATTTTTGAGTAGCTTTTCGATTAGTTTGCGATCAATGATACTGTCGTCAACAGCCAAAACATGGGGTTGCTCCACATTTTCCATGAAACCCTTTGAAGATGAAGATGAAGATGAAGATGAAGATGAAGCCGAAGAAGCCTCCATAGGTCTTAAACCCAACAATAACGCCTCACCCACCACTTAATAGGCAGGGCAGAGTCTAAACATTAAAAGCTATGTAACAGCAAAAAGGAAGAAAGAAAAGGCACTAATAAACGCAGTTGCAATAAAAGACACGCAATAATTACACAAGACCGAAAACGAAACGACTTCTCTGACAATAGCAATTAACCTGCGCTGCGCATACATAAAACAAAACAAACTCATAAGAAATGTATGAACGTGTAATATAATGTGTAATGTGGTGGGTTGGGTTGTATTTATATAAAGTTACAGTAAATGCATTGTATTAAAGAAAACGAGAGGTTGTTGTTGGTGGGCGAGGAATTTTAGAAGATATTGAGAGAGAGAGAGAGAGAGAGAATCAGAATCAGTATCCAGTCACAGATATTTCGTGATCCTTTTTGGGTTTCTACCTTGATTTGATTCAGTCCCCAGTTTCCCTTCTTCCAAGTCCCACCACATCATCTCTGTGTGTGTGTGTAGAAATCAGTACGTATCAGAAGTCTGCATGAATACAGCTGCATTATGTCATTTGATTCATTTCTACTAGATTTTCACTGCTGCTGGCTGCTGATACGATAATAACCAGGAGCTCATTATACCCTTTTGGAATACACACTCTCTCTCTCTCTCTCTCAACAGTAAACAGACTGGTATGATGCTTACAGCATAAATGTCATTTAAAACGGTTGTTGTTCTATGAAACTTCAACTAGTGCTGCTTTTTAACCATCAATTCAATTTTGGGTTGCTGTACATGGCCTCATGAGATTATTATAACTAGGTAAATCTTCTACCATAAAAAAATTCAACTAGAAAAAATGAAAAATGAAAGACACCAAAATTGATGGTTACTTGGAGTTAACTTGGTCAAAGGAAGGGGGGATAAAGTTACTATATGAATTATCTTATGGATCAAATTTGGCGCCACCAATGTCCAAAAGATCCGATTTTGATCTGACTCTTGGAAATTATACAGAATCTCTTGGCGAAAACTGTGCAGAATGATCCATACATACGTAATGGTAACGAACAAACCATATAAAACGACAGCATCTTTGGTCTGTGTTCTGGTCTGTCTGTCAGACTCACTTTGCTATTTACTCTCAAATACTCAAAACGACAGATAATTGCACCACGGGCCACACAGTGAGACTTTTCAACCATTTTTTAGCAAAATAAATTAACCACATCTTTTATAGAGATAAGATTTGCTTCCACAAATAAAATGTGGTTTAAAAACGTAGTGTTTGTGTGGCATATATGAAATGAAACATTACTCGTGCATGAAACAAGTTTGTTTTAGTTAATGGATAAGATCAAAAGGGTTGATGTGTTCAAGGCCTGCTTGTTTTGTTCTTCTGTCAATGACAAAGCAACAACAAATTTTTCTGACAAGGTACATTTTCAAGAGCAGACTACAGACAAGACTGGTATATCTCTAGGCCACCACAGCACACTGCAACAATAGCATCATCTGTCTGATTCTGTAGCAGCTTCCAAAAGCAGACTTCCTTTGTAACAACCTGTTCTGATGTTTTAAGAGGTTCACTTGTCCTGTAACTCTCATTACCTTACGAGATTATGAGTTAGCTGTTGGCTTTATGGAGAAGCGTGAGCAATGACTCAGTTTGCTTAGTACTACTACTCTTATCCACGAAAGTTTTTTTATTTTTTTTATTTTTATAGTTCGACCGTCTCACGGTCACATGGCATTGTGAAAAATTTCAATTGATTGCAAGAGCATGTAAAAGCATTTGATAGGAGGGTAAGGCGACATGAACCCTGTTTGATATGACACAAGCCACACTACAACATTTTTTTCTTTTTTCAAAAAGGAAATGAACCTGCATTTCCATAACATATTTTCTCATCAAATGAGGGCCACTAATGCATTGCCGAGAAAATCCTTGAAAAGTGAGTTACAATTTTTGTTGGATGGGCCAAAGATCATCATTTGATGCTTGCCTTGGGAATGGATGATGTACAAGACCCGGCTGAGGTCATAAAAGGAATACCCTTGAACGTAGCCACACCCTTATCATCAGTGAAAAGATGCTGCAACAATGAAACACCCATGAGATTCACATGCCCAACTTTGAGCATCATAATTTTTTAAGGAATAAATGCAGAGTGGATGACAGTATGACTAATTCACCCTAACTGTAATAACTCATGTCCTACTAGATCCTTGTATTTTTCACTCAAGTGGTAATATTAGCCACCATTCAGGAATCAATTGACTACTATATAGATGATGATCCAAAAACCTTAAGCATCTTGCAAATCATCAGTCTAAATCACCCCCAGAAACCTCAGAATTTTCAAGTGAACTTTTTAATGGTTGGCTAAGCAGTAATTTTGTGGACTACAAGTTCCATAGGACGTGTGAATAATCTGTATAAATTCTGCAGCACAACTATGGTTGTCCCCTACTGAACACTATCCAGAAACCCATAACCAAAAGAAAAATGAACATACCGGTGTGATCTTCTCCAACTGTTTCTTTTTTGGGTTGAGGACATCTTCTGGCTTTCCATCAACCCTGGATAAAAAGAAGTGTATGTGAGAAACAACTAGTCCAAAGAGTCAATTATTTTGGGAGAAATAATAATAACGATGATGATAATAATAAACTGCAGTTAGTGTTGAACAAATGAATCTAGACAGTACATGGGGGGCAAATGAGGTCACTCTTAAAAAATCACATCTATTAGTTGATAAAATGCAGGAGTAGGCAACTACCAGTTTTTCCATCAAATTTGTTATTTTCTTCCACACATACAACCCTGGTTGTTAGTTCAATCAAATTCAAAAACAGGGGGCACCATGATGGTTCAGATATTTTTTTTCAACCCTAATGGTGGGCTAGAACTTCAAAAAAGAAATGCTATGATTCTCAGTTTTAACAGACTATGTAAGGGGAAAATTAGGTTACTTTGACCTTTATAATTGAGGATTGAATAAATTCAAAACCAGATAGAAAGCGTCCCATAAGTGCAAAAATACTCTACCAGCACAGTTGCAAAATAACATTTTAATAAAATAAAAAGCCCTCACTTTTGCAAATATGTTTGCATTATAAGTTACCAATGAAAATATTTGTTCAAGCTCCAAGTAGTTTCAGCTAACTTACCCAGAAAATGACACACGTTCCCCAGGTTTGGCTCCTTCTGGAGGGAGCAAAGGCTCTACAAGGGTGTGATCTTCATTAGAAGCACATAGCACCTGAACACATGCACAAAAATGAAACCCATACCTTTGTATTTGTTTAGCAGAAGCTTATTCTAGAAAAATTCAGCTTTCACTAAAAAAGACACTCTTCATAAGCTGCGACCATATGGTACACATTTGGAATCTTGTACTATAGAGAATAGACATTGAGATTATAAATGTTTCATTTGAAGGGATGGAGCGAAAACTTGAAAACACTTTTTATTCATGAGTTGAAGATTTGAACACAAAATATGAAAATAAAGGCACGATTTTGATTACCAGAAGTGGGAGTGCTATGATGCAAATGACAAGAAACACATACCAGTCCTTCTGACGCCACATCGCGTAACTTTCCAGGTTTCACATTTGTAATCAGCACAACCTTACGGTTCTGCATAGTGCATGCAAACACCAAAATATATCAGAAAGTGTGAATATTCATCTAACAAGGGTGAAAATCAATATAAACCCATGCAAAAAAACCAAGTGAAAAAACTATCTACTTCCAAAAGATCAAGCAGTACTCATACCGTCAACTCCTCAGGACTGCAATATTTTGCAAGGCCGCTGACCACTTGTCGCAATTTAGCATCTCCAACATCAATCTCCTCAACCAGTAAACTGTATCATGTTTTAAAACAAGGGTTATGACTGAATTGCATCTTATAGATGTACAATAATATTCAGAGTCCAAATGTTGAGGCAAAGATAGATATGTTGCAAGCACTGTCAATTGGCTTTAGAAGAGAAGAAAGAGAAAAAATGTTTCATGCATACCTATCAGCAGACGGATGCTTCCAAGCTTTGCGAATGAGGCCAACCTGTATATTCAACAAACTGACACTAAGTTCTTTGTCTTTCTCAACTGCCTCTGTTTCTGGAGACTTTTTCTTCTCTTGAGTGGCTTTCTTATCGGGTTTCTTATCTGCTTTCTTATCTCCTGTAGCCTTTATCTAACAATTTCAGAAAAGAATACACTGTAATTGGGCAAGAAATGTCCAGGAAGGAAATCTGGAAATAGAAGCATTGTTTGGATGTAGTAATTCTACCACACAAACCCATCCATAAATTCACATAATGAGGATGGAAAGATATAATGTCGATTAGATAACTGATCAAGGGAAATATTGTTATTGAAAGTATAAGTACGCAGCTCAAGCACTTTATGTAGATATCTCATATAGCAGTATGGGAAATTGCAAGAATAGTACAAGAATTGAGGTGGTTTCAGATTGAAAACATCTTATGGTAGTTTAATCTTGGAATTCATTGCATGAGTCTATTACACTGTTTGGTACTGTCAATCTTTTTAGGCGTGCTTTTTACTAGAATTTTTTTTTGTAGGAAATCCAAATCATCAAGATATTCTAACAAAATGGAAGTCTTAAATGAATTTAACAACAGCTTTTATATTCTTAAACAAATTGAGGACCTTTTATCATCTATAGGTTTGATACATGCACATATAAGTATATGAATATACGCATGTAGGTATAGCTGCAAAAAATTATAAGTAAGATATTATTCATTGTAGAAACAGGTCATATGACAGAAAGATTATTTGATTGTACACAAGAGAAAGAATAACTGAAATTTTAAAAGGATAAACCTCAGCATCACTTTTCTTTGTGTTCAGGTCTGCCTCTGGCTTGTCGGCGCTTTTTGCACTTTGAACAGTCTTCTTTGCATTTGAATCTATTTCCACCTTACCTGCACTTTTTGCTCCCTGCAATGCATACCACTTCTGTATACATGATAATCAAAGGATACAGGACACTTATTTCTCAAGAGTAATATAGGTCAACTTTGGGACTCTCAAGAAAACATGAGCAATATCAGGGCTTAGAGATGTAAAGAATGAAACAGGAATTTCAGAATAATTAGTAAATTTTACTTACTAGAAAGTCAAATGGAACCTTCTCTATCACTATCTTCTTAAGTAAGTCCCCGAAATCCACCTTGTTCTGGGGGAGAAAAAAGTTGTGAGCACTAGTTCACTATAAGACTTATGAAAGGTACACGAGGTAATGATAACACAAGTAGCTCATTATTTCTGCATCTAATGACAGCAGAGTTTGTAACCACATGGTACTTTATTTCAAAGAAAATCACTGGCACACTTTTGAAAAGTGTTGCTAACAGATTCTAATAAACTTAATTAACGATTAACATAAAGGATATGCATACCTGGATGTGATCCACCCATCTCAATAGATGCGGCAACTTTTGCCTATCTGAATTTGAAAGGCCAATCTGCAAATAAACCACTCAAAAATCTTTGAAAATGCAAAACAATACTGATCCATCACACACAACATGCATGCATGCGCATATATATAGAGGTAATTCAACAATTGAAAGTGAACAACAACAATCCATACCACAGAAGAATGCACCACAGCAAACACAATAACATCAGCTTCAGAGGGTGTGAAACCATTTCCCAAAAGCACAGACACGTCAGCCAAGGTATCATTTAACCCTTTGAGAACTTCAAAGCA